GTGGTAGTGTGTGCTTGTAGTTCCAGCTACTTGGAAGGCTGAGGCGGAAGGATCACCGGAGCCCAGCAGGTTGAGGCTGTGGTGGCCGTGAGTTTGCCACTGCACTCCAACCTGGGCCACAGAGTGAGACTCCAACACAAAAAAACCCAAAAAATTAGCCTGGCATGGAGGCACACACCTATGGTTCCAGTTACTTGGAAGGTTGAGGTGGAAGGATTGCCTGAGTCCAGTGGGTCGAGGCTGCAGTGGCTGTGAGTGTGCCACTGCACTCCAGCCTGGGTGACAAAGTGAGACTCTGACTCAAAAAATAAATAACTAAATTACTTTATGACTAAAAATGCTAATTATCATGTGAGGCTTCAGCGAGTCACTCTTTGCTGATGGAGGGCCTTGCCTCGATGTGGGTGACTTCTGATTGATTGGGGCGGTGGTGGCTGAAGGTTGAGGCAGCTGTGGCAACTTCTTACTATAAGACACAATGAATTTTACCCCATTGATCGACTCTTTTTCATGAAAGATTTCTATGTAGTACTTGATGCTAATTGATAGCATTTTACCCACAGAAGTTCTTTCAAAATTGGAGTCAGTTCTTTCAAATTCTGCCGCTGCTTTATCAACCCATGTATGTAATATTCTAAATCCTTTGCTGTCATTTCAACGATGTTCAGCCAGCCTCAGTGGCACACCCCTGTAGTCCCAGCTATTCACAGGCAGAGGTGACAGGACTGCTTGAGCCCATAAGTTCTGGGCTGTAGTGTGCTAAGCCAGTCAGTATCTACACTAAGTTGGACATCAATGTGGTGACCTCCCATATTTTCGGGACTAGGTGGTCCAGTGGGGGACCAATTGGCTTCTTTTATTTTTTTTGAGTGGGAGTCTCACTCTGTTGCCTGGGCTGGAGTGCAGTGGCACACTCACGGCCACCACCACCTCGACCTGGGCTCAGGCATGCCTGGCTAATTTTTTGATTTATTGTAGAGATAAGGTCTTGCCAAGTTGCCCAGGCTGGTCTCAAACCCCTGGGCTCAGGCAATCCTCTTCCCTCGGCCTCTCAAAGTTCTGGGATTACAGGGGTGAGCCACTGCACCCGATCGTAAAGTTATTTTACTTTTCTTTGTTGGAGTCTCACTTTTTTGCCCAGGCTGGAGTGCCATGACATGCTCATGACCACTGCGGTCTCGACCTGCTGGGCTCAGGCGATCCTTCAGCCTCAGGCTTCCAAGTAGCTGAACCTACAGGCACTTGTCACCATGCCTGGCTAATTTTTTGATTTATTGTAGAGACGAGGTCTTGCCATGCTGCCCAGGCAGGTCTTGAACCCCTGGGCTCAGGCAATCCTCTCGCCTCAGCCTCCCAAAGTGCTGGGATTACAGGCTTGAGCCACTGCGCCCAGCCAGTAGTTTTAATTCAAGGTACATACATTGATTTTTTAAAAGGTATTGTACACTTAATAGACTACAGTGCGGTGTAAACATAACTTTTTTTTTTTTTTTTTTTTTTTTGCGATGGGGTCTCACTCTGTTGCCCAGACTGGAGCGCAGGAGCACGATGTGCAAACATAACTTTCATCAGCACTGGGAAACCAACAAATTCGTGTGACTCACTTCCTGCGACATCTCCGCGGCATGCCTATAGAAGGGTGCCGTGCTCTGGATCTTACCAGGCTGCACCTGGATGTAGGAAAGTGCCAGAAGTCCTGGGTAACCTGAGTGCCATCTCCCAGAAGTGGAACCTAAGAATGCCTAGTGACTACGGCCCACTGAGGCCAGGCTGGGGGCCAGAGTTGTGCCCAGTGGGCAAGACGGGCTTAGGAAGGTAGGGTTTTTTATGAGGCTCCTGCAATTGCTGGCTTCCTGCAACCCGCCAAGAGGCCCAAGTTCACAACAGGGCCGGCTGCAGACCTCACCTCCTCTGGCACGAAGGGTCCCAGGCACAGCCTCTCTCAGGAAGGAGTAGCTTTTCATCAGGAACCTGACCTGAGGCGGAGTGGAAGGGAGGTCAAGTTGCTGTGTGGCTTTGAGCAGATCACTAAACCTCTCTGTGCTCTCATTTACCTGAGAGAGGCAGGCCGAGAGTAAGATCTGTCTGGCCAGAGCCCATATTTTTCTTTTTGTCTCATGGCCTTATAGCCTAGCATAGACGGGCTGCTAGGAGGAGGGTAAAAGCTGCTGGGATGAGAGGCCAGGGCGGAGTCTTTATCCGGCCAACCTCCTGCGACTGCGGTTTCAGATTATGTCTGCGTAGTGGCGTCTTTTTTCCTTCCAGCCGGCTGTTTCCCGCAAATTGCGCGTAACGGACTCCGCCCCTAGCAACCAGGCCCGCCCCTGCCGAGCCGCCCTCTCGGGGCCCCGCCCACCCGCCTTTGGCCGCGCCCGCTCCCTCCCGGGGACAGCCCGGCTCCCGCCTCACCTGCTCGAAGACCAGGACGCAGCGCGAGGCCGGCGGGAGCTGGTGCTCCACGGCCACGTGCACCGGCAGCGCGCAGAGCACCGCGGCGTGGGCGGCCAGCAGCGCGCCGCCCAGGCCGGCGCCCAGCGTCCAGGCGCCCCCGGTCCCGGGCCTCGCCCACAGTCGCAGGGCCTGATAGGGCACCAGCAGGGTGGACAGGAACATGGGGACCCACGTCACCAGCGCCAAGGGCAGCTGTCCGAAGCTGAAGATCAGGAGGTCAAACTCCAGCAGCAGCCTGGGAGCGGGGAAGGCGAGACGAAGTGGGCAAAAGTGTCGCCCTTCCTCGTCCCCTTAGTCCTCAGTCGGAGCTCCTGGAGGATCAACTGAGGTATCTTGATCCGGTTGTGAGCTGCCCATCCCTGGAGGTGTTCCAGATGCCGTCTCTGTGGCCCAGGACTTCTGGCACAGGGCGTTGCCCCAAGAGACTCAGTTAGGAAATGGGGTTGATTCTCATAGACCTTGAGGGCCCTCTGTGAATGTTACGGGGTTGCTGAAGGGCTCACTACTCTCTACCACGAGTGTTAGGATGTGAGGTATCCAGGCTTTGATTGTCCTTAGTTTTGCTGCTTTGGGGAGTCCGTGGTTTTAGACTGGAGCTAATAGCACGCAGGTTAAGTGTTTTGTGTGCCTAGGTTAAGAGCATATGGCCTTAAAGGGAGGAAATTGAAAACAACGTAAATGTCCATTAATAAAGGACTAAATGAACAAAACCTGGCACCTCCATACTCTGCAGTCATTAAAAACAACGGACTGAGCCACCGAAGCCGGCGTGCCTGTAGTTCCAGCTACTTGGAAGGCTGAGGCAGAAGAATCGCCGGAGTCCAGCAGATTGAGGCTGCGGTGGCCAGGAGCATGCCACTGCACTCCAGTCTGGGCGACAGTGAGACTCCAACTCAAAATTAAAAAATTTTTTTTTAAATTAGCCGGGTGTGGTAGCGCGTGCCTGTAGTTCCAACTACTTGGAAGGCTGAGGCGGAGGGATCGCCACAGTCCAGCAGGTCGAGGCTGCGGTGGCTGGGAGCATGCCACTGCACTCCAGTGTGGGCGACAGAGTAAGACTCCAACTCAAAACAAAACAATGGACTGACATGGAAAGATCCCTAAGATACAGTGCTAGGAGTTGGGAGTAGCAGTTCAATCGCAGCACTTTGGGAGGCCTAGGTGAGAAGATTACCTGAGGCCAGGAGTTTGAGACCAACCTGGACAGCATAGTGAAACCCCACCTCTACCAAAAAAAAAAAAGAAAGCTAGATTTCTAGGGAGTAAAAACAAATTGCAAAATAACAGGTATAGCATCTTATTTACGTAAACTCCCCACAGCATTCATCTCTTTGGTACCCATATACATATGATGGCAATGCATGGACAATGCTCTGGAGGGAAACTTGAAAATGGCAACCTCTGGGGAGCAGTCTGGGATTGAAGGGGGTGGTCAAGAAGGACTGTCGCTTTACAGTAAGAAGTGTATTTAAACTTTTTACTGAGATTTTTATCATTTTGATACTCGTATAATAAATAAAAGGAAGTACTATTGCTTCTTTTTATTATTTATCTATTTACCTATTTATTTATTTGTTTAGAGATCAGGTCTTGCTATGTTGCCCGGGCTGGACTCGAACCCCTGGACTCAAGCGATCATCCCACCTCAGCCTCCCAAAGTGCTGAGATTACAGGTGTGAGCCACGATGCCTGGCAGTCCTCTTCTTTTTACTGCTTCCCAAGTTCTACTTAGGATGAGGTGCGGGGAAAATAGAGACCCCCAGGGATATACAGTCCTCTGAGGTTCATCCTCAGAGTTGGGGGAGTGCTCTATGGGGAAAGTGACCCAGCTAGGAAGGCACTTGTGTGCATGTCTGTCTTCCCACAAGGTTGGGAATGCCCCATAGACAGGGATAAGGTCTACCCTGATCATTTCTCTGGCCCCAGGACTGGTACTCAGTAGGTGCTTAGTGGAGGTTACTTGAATGGAACTGACGAGGAAAAGAATGTGTGTTGGTGTGCGTGTGTGTGCACACACCAACGTCTGCCCCAGGGCAAGGTTCTCATTGAGGAGTATCTGAGAGGGAGCTTGGTGTCCCTGGAATGGCTGGCTCTGGGAGGACAGGCCAAGGGCCACCCAAGGTTGGGGATGGAAGGAGTCCAAGGGACTGTTTTAGGTGGGAAGGGTGTCGGAAGCCGTTGATGCATGGCCAGGGACCAAGAGGAGACCCGTATCCTCTGGAACCAGAGGCAGGCAGGGTACTGGGACCCAGAGAGTCTGATCAGATTGGCGTGCCTCCCCTGGATGGGAGAAAGGCCTACCTGCCCTCATCAATGAAGTCGATGGCCAGGGTGCTGATGATGAAGACACACAGGCCAGCGATGAACATGTGGTAGATGGTGCGGAAATGCTGTACCTCCATCAGCTCACTGGGGGGACAGGGGTCCAAAGGTCAGCGTGGAGGGTCCTCAGAGTCCTGTGGACTAGCTCAGGTACTGCACACATGAGGGCATGGGGCCTAGGGACCCAGAACTTCCAGATAAAGGCAAGGCTGTGGCTGGGATAACACATCCTGGTGGCCTTTCTTCCACAACCACCCCACCACCACCATCTGTCAAGGCCAATAGGGGAACCAGAACCTTCGAAACCCTCTCCATGTCCTCCCCACAAACCACCTAGGCTGAGGAATGAATGACCTAGACCCCAGCCAAAGCCCTTGTTTCCCCTGTCCTCACCCCTGACTTACTCAAGCAGGGACTTTCGGATGATGAAAACTTTCCGTTTCCCCAGGGATGGCTCCCGGGTCCTGAATTGAGACGTTTGTTCAAATCAGGCCCCGAGGGAAGAAGGCAGTGGGCAGAGGGCAGAGCCATGCAGGGAAACGCTTGGGAGCCAAGGGCAGTAGTAGGGGAAGGGCAGGGTCAGGGCCAGGGCCAGGGCCAGAGGGCAGGACCAGATGGAAGGTCAGGGCCAGGGCACAGCAAGGCCCAGAGGGTGGGGCCCAGTGTCAGGAAGACAAGATCACAAGGGGAGAAGGCAGAAGGCCAGAGTCAGGATCACGCTGAGACCGGCCATGGGCGCATCCGATGATGTTTATGGCGCACGCTCCTTGCTATGGCGGAGTCCACCATGGCCATTCCCCAGCCTCAGACTCACCCGCTGGAGGCTGCTGGGGGAGTGGAGGGCAGAGCTCCGCCTTGTGGCGGGTAGGACTGTACGGCTTCCCAAATGGCTCGGTCCAGCAGCTCCATTAGCTGCCCCTGCGCCTGCTCCTGCAATTGTGTCTTCACAGCCTGCGGAACAAAGCCAGGGCAGCACCCGCTGTCCCTCCATCCATCCATCCATCCTTTTTTTTTTTTTTGAGTCAGAGTCTCACTCTTTCGCCCAGACTAGAGTACAGTGGCACGCACACTCATGGCCACCCCAGCGTCAACCTTCTGGGCTCCAGCGAGCCTTCTGCCTCAGCCTTCCAAGTAGCTGGAACTACAGATGTGCACCAGCACGCCCGGCTATTTTTTATTTTATTTATTTTATTTTAGTTGAAGTCTCACTCTGTCAACCAGACTGGAGTGCAGTGGCCGCTCCAGGCCACTGCAGCCTCGACCTGCTGGGCTCTGATCCTTCCGCCTCAGTCTTCCAAGTAGCTGGAACTATAGGCGTGCGCTACCACGCCCGGCTAGTTTTTGATTTATGGTACAGATGAGGTCTCGCCAAGTTGCCCAGGCGGGTCTCAAACCCGCGGGCTCAGGCAATCCACTCTCCTTGACCTCCCAAAGTGCTGGGATTATAGGCTGAGCTACCGAGCCTGGCCTCAGCCATTCTTTCATTCACCAAACATTCACTGAGCTTCTCTCTGCGCCAGGCACAGTGCTAAGTGCTAGGGATAAAAACGTGAGTCAGTCATGTTTCCTGCCCAGGGGTTCCCCGAGAATCGATTTCCTGCCGGCTTCCCAGGGCAGCCGTGAGGGTCAAGGAATGACAGCAGGAGCAGCACTTCCACCCCCTGGGTCACCTCTGCTCCTCACTGTCTTACCCCCGACCTCTGACCCCACCGGTGGGAAGATTCTATTCACTGGCTGACTTTGGGTCCCTGCTCTTAGGACCTGTGCTTCAAACCCCTGTATCTTTTTAATTTTTTTTTCTTTTTTTGAGTTGGAGTCTTACTCTGTCACCCAGGCTGGAGTGCAGTGGCACACTCAAGGCCACCGCAGCCTCCACTTGTTGGGCTCAGGTGATCCTTCTGCCTCAGTCTTCCAAGTAGCTGGAACTACAGGCGCGTGCTACCACATCTGGCTTATTTTTTGATTTATTGTAGAGATGAGGTCTTGCCAAGTTGCCCAAGCTGGTCTCGAACCCATGAGCTCAGGCCATCCTCTCGCTTCAGCTTCCCAAAGTGATTATAGGCGTGAACCACTGTGCCGGGCAAAACCCCTCCATCTTAACTCTCAATTTTAAGTTGATCTTTGAACTTGAGAACAAATCATCTTCGGCCACCCTAGGACCTGTCCATTTTGACTTCTGGCCTCTGACGTCCCTTACCTCCATGTGTCGGGTCCATTGCACCAAGTCTGGGGCTCTGTGAGTCTCGGTGATTCCTGAGAGGAGGGAGCAAAGGCACACCTGGGAGGGGCCGTTAGGGCTCTGCTGCCTGTGTAGACCAGAGGCATCCAGTGCCCCGGAAGTGCTTTCCGTCTGCTCAGCTGCCTCCCCGCCCCCAGCTGGTCAATATCTGGTATCAAGGGTAGGGTAGCCAGAGGGGAAGTTGTGGAGGGGAGAGGAGGCCCTTGGCAAGCAGGGGCTCTGATGACATCACTGGAAACATCAAACCCAGGGAACGGGCAGTTACTCTGTTCACCCTCTGGAGCTGAAGGGTCAGACAGGTAAGGTGAGGCCACAGCTCTGAATATCTCCTTTGGCCTCCATCTCCCAGTGGGGCGGCTTTGGGTGGAGGCTGGGTCTGCCCTCCTTGGCCTCCTTGGACAGCAGGAAGGACTGACGGTAGACAGTAGGAGCCTTTGCCCAACAAGAGTCTCCCCAACCCCACCTGAGCTCTCTGCACTCCCGGAGTGTGGCTCACCTTCTCCAGGGAGTCGCTCCTCCTGCTCCCCTCTCGGCGCTTCTCTCCTCCGCAAGCGGGTACCCCCTGGCTCCATGACGTGGGTCTCGGGTGGGCAGCAGGCAGCCTTGGCCCGTGGTTCCGCCTCTCCTCCCCAGCGTGGCCTGCCCTGCCTAGCTCTGTCCCATTCAGCTTAGCTGACAGCTCCAGAGACTAAAGTCCTTTCAGGAGGAGGGGGCCCCTGGAAGCGCGATAAGTTATCTGACCCGGAGGTCCATGAGGTGTTGCTCTGCCGGCTGTCGCAGGGATGACTGCGTCCTCTAACACCCCAACCACCGCCCAGATGGCCAGCTCCAAGTGTGCCATCCCTCCCACCGGAATGGTGGAGAGGGGAACTTTGCCTCTCTGAGGCTTATCAACTAGCATGGCTGGCCTTCCAGTCCCTCTCCCAGCAGGCTGAAGGTCAGGGAGGAGCCGAGAATCTTCAGGTATCGGCACATTCGGCTCCCTTAGACCACACGGCGTGGGGTTCTGTGCATGCAGTAACATTCAGATGGGGCTGGCACCGGGATACGCATGGTGCTGTGGCCCCTCCAGGAAGTGCTGGGTGCCGGGGCCCTGGAACGTCAGCTCTTCCACACACTGGCCTGGTTAGCATGGAGGCAGAAAGGAGACTAAACAAACACTCATAGGTGGGTGCGGTGGCTCATGCCTGTAATCCCAGCACTTTGGGAAGAAGAGGCAAAAGGATTGTCTGAGCCCACAGGTTTGAGACCAGCCTGGGTAGCATGGCAAGACTTCATCTCTACAATAAATAAAAAAATTAGCTGGACATGATGGCACATGCTTCTAGTTCCAGTTACTTGGAAGGCTGAAGCAGAAGGATCTCCTGAGTCCAGTAGGTCGAGGCTGCAGTGGCTGTGAGCGTGCCACATTCCAGCCTGGGTGACAGAGTGAGACTCCGACTCAAAAAAACACATACTCATTCAGCACCAGGAATGCCAGGCATTGGCACACACAGAACCAGATGCAAACCTTCCCGTGTCACCTACTGTCTGTACAACTTCAGGCAAGCGACTCCACGTGTTAAGCCACAGTTTCCTCTTCTGAAAAATGGGGGTAAAAATCCCTGCCTCACAAGGTTAGCATAAGCATAGAACCAGGTAAAATCACACAGGGATGGGGTGAGCTCATAGAGAATTAATAACTTCCTTCCCTTTTGTAAGAAGTAACAGAAGGGCAAGGGTTTTGAGAGTTCCTCTTTGCTGGGTTTCTGCTGGGGATTAACTATTAATCCTTCTCCTCCCTGTGTGTCCAAAGATCAGTGTTAGAAACAAGGTCAGACCGGGCTCGGTGGCTCAGCCTGTAATCCCAGCACTTTGGGAAGCGGAGGCGAGTGGATTGCCTAAACCCACGGGTTCAAGACCAGCCCAGGCAACTTGGTGAGGCCTCGTCTCTACGATAAATAATTTTTTAAAAAATTAGCTGGGCATGGTAGCACATGCCTATAGTTCCGGCTACTTAGAAGGCTAGGCGGAAGGATTGCTAGAATCCAGCAGGTCGACACTGGGGTGTCCGTGAACGTGCCACTGCATTCCTGCCTGGGCAATGGAGGGAGACTCCAACTCAAAAAAAAAAAAAAGAAAAACTCAGGTGGAGGCCATGATCTCAGCGTCTCCTCTCCCTCCCCTCCACTCCTGGTGGGCAGCTGGATGAGGCTTGAGGGCTTGAAGCACTGTCCATGACTGTCTCCTGCATTCCAAGCAATAGGAGGAACTGAAGGTGGCCCCCAGGGAAGGAGAAACGTTGTGGTGAACTGCAGTGGCAGTACAGAGGGCCAGGGCTCCAGAGCCGCAAGAGGCAGACAGAGACATAAGCCTGAGACCCCAACACAGTTTTATTAACATCCCAAGCCAACACCAGCAATCTTTCCAACCAGATGTGTAAGGGCCCAGGGGCGAGGGGACCATGGCGCAGGGCCTGAAGGTGGGTCCTGGGGCTCAGAGCCCCTGAATTGGTCATCACTCAGCAATTAATGCAAGATGACAGCCCCATGCTCCTGCCGGCGGCCCTGCAGCCCTCGCCCCCAGCTTTAGCCGCTACTTCCCATGGGGCAGGGAGAGCTTCCATCGCCGTCTGGAGACCTTGGCAGGGGCTGGCCCATGCGATCCACACACCAGCAGGGACCTCGGCGCTGGCCCTGGGAAGAGCGGCACTGGGGAGAGAGGCACACAGATCAGGGGTGAGGCTGAGTCTCCGACAGGGGGGTGGGAGGGAGCGCCTGAGTCTGAGGGTCTGGAAACATCTGTGGGTTCCCTCGGGACCATGGGGCCGACTGGGTTCCCTTTCCTTGGTCCCCCTCCCCCACCTTTTTTATTGAGCCAGGGTCTCACTGTGTTGCCCAGGCTGGGGTGCAGTGGCACCATCACGGCTCACCACAGCCTCAATCTCCTGGGCGCAGGCAATCCTTCTGCCTCAGCCTCCTAATTAGTTGGGACTACAGGTGCACCTCATCATGCCTGGCTAGCTTTTTTATTTATTTTTTATTTTATTTTACTTTTTTTATTTATGTTTTTGAGTTGGAGTCTCACTCTGTCGCCTAGACTGGAATACAGTGGCCGCTCCCGACCACTGTAGCCTCGACCTGCTGGGCTCCGGCGATCCTTCCGCCTCAGCCTTCCAAGTAGCTGGAATTACAGGCGCGTGCTACCACGCCCGGCTAATTTTTGATTTATTGTAGAGATGAGGTCTCGCCTGCCCAGGTGGATCTCGAACCCATGGGCTCAGGCAATCCACTCAGCCTCTCAAAGGCTCAGGATTACAGGCTGAGCCACCGAGCCTGGCTGCTTTTTTATTTTTTTGTAGAGACGAGGTCTTGCTGTGTTGCCTAGCCTGATCTCGGGCTCTTGGACTTGATCAGTCCTCCCAAAGTGCTGAGATTACAGGTGTGAGCCACCACACCCGTCTGCCTCTTCAACCAATAAATTGTGTGCTGGCCCTGAACAGCAGTTTTCAAAGTGTCATTCCCAAGTCAACAGCTCCAGCATCGCTGGGAAGCATGTTAGAAAAGCAAATTCTCGGGTCCCACCTCAGACCTGCGGAACCAGAAACTCTGCAGGTGGGGCTGAGCCATCTGTGTGTTCACAAGCCCTTCAGATAATTCTGATGCCTCAAATCTGAAAGCCACCGAGTAGGTTCATTCCTTAAGTACGTTAAGTCCTCTACTATGGGTGGTTGATTATTGTTTATGTTGCGTGGGTCTTCAAGTTGGAAGATCCTTTTTGTGGAGTTGTGATCTCACTCTGTCACTCAAGCTAGAGTACAGTGGCACAATCACAGCTCACCACAGCCTCCATTCCACCTCCTGAGCTCAGATGATCCTTCTGCCTCAGCCTCCTGACTACAGGCGTGCACCACCACATTCGACTAATTTTTTTGGTAGCAAAGTGGTCCAGGCTGGTTTTTGAACTGCTGGGCTCAAGTACCCCGCCCACCTTGGCCTCCCAAAGTACTGGGCATACAGGTATGAGCCCCTGGAAGATCTTTAAAGACAGGGGACAGTGTCTTATGTATGCAACTTCATAAGCCTTCCTGTCCCCTACTCCCTGGTAGGAACTTTGTACTGGAGCGAGGGGAGAAGAATAGTCTCACCTGCCGCTTCCGGTAGAAGCCTCGATGGTCACAATTGGGCACATAGAGTGTGTGACCCCCTCGGTAGACTTTGGTCTGGAGCTGCTGCAGCACTGAGTCCAGGTGTCTGCGGCATGGGCCCTGAGGGAGGGAGAGCAGGCAGCTCAGACCGCTCCTCCCCGGCTGCCCTGCCAGCCCGCTGGCCCCACCAGGCTCCCAGGATCAACACTGGAGTCTTCTCCAAGCCCAAGGGAGCAGGCTCAGATGGCAGTCTCCAGCACTCCCACCCTTCTTGCTCCCTACCAGCCCCCAGCGTACCATCTCAGTGTCCTGGACGCTCCCAGAATTGGGCCGGGCGGGTGTGGTAGAGGTGCCCGGATTCCTCTGTTGGTCTCTGCGGTTCACGTCCTGTGGGTGGGTGGTTCCTGCGTGGGGTTTACTCTCCTTAGGATTCTCCTCTACAACCCCAGGAGGAACGGGAGAAGAGGCCAGAAATCAGCCAGACGCCAAAGACCAGAGCCACGTGGGGAAGAACCTTGCCCACCACCACACTGAAGAGGAAGAGAGGGCTTGTGCTGACCTTAGTTTCCTTCTCTGACAAAGAGCTATGTTGTATTTCCTGATAATATTCCCCAGGGTCATTTTTAAGGCTTATAAGGGAGAAGCATTTTGGAAAGCAAAAGTCGAGAACAAGTTCAAAGCACTGTTGGTTATTGTGAGGCTTTGAACTTCAGGTGAAAAGACCTGGCTGTTCCACCAGAAGCCAGAAGGGGGCGCACCAAGCCAGGGAGATGGGGTAGGAGCGCTGCGGACGGAGGAGGGGGTCAACAGGGACCCAAGTGGAATGTGCGTCCCCGCTGTGACCCTGCTGTGACTCAGCCCACCCCTCCCAGGCCTGAGTTGCGATTACTTTTGGGGCATTGCAGTGGGAACCTCTCCCTTCTGTCCTCTGTGGCTCAGGCGAGCTCCACCCCAGTGGTCCCAGGAGATTTCAACCCCCGAACCGAGATGGGCTGAGGGCACGTCGCAAAAGTGCAGAGAACGAAGGGCTTCCAACCTGCATGTTGCACCTGGCTCTGAAGGAAGTTTCTGGGGGCTCGCGGGGGAGAGCTCGGGACTGGGAAAGGGGGAGGAAATAAGTCAGGGCTAGGAGAAGGCAGGGAGGGGACCATGCACTGCTTGGAATTTGCCCCAGATGTAAAATTAGATATTAGAGCCCCTAAAGGGATCCTCTCTCTCTCCCTGTGCCCAAAGACAAGCTCCCTTCTAACTACCGCTCACAACGAAGCCATTCGCCCGAATCCGAGTGAGATCCTTCCTCAGGATACCCCTCCCTCCTCAGACCTCCACCCACATTCTCTCCCTTTAGCACCCAACCATGGCCGTGACTGCGCTCCAAACTGCCTTCTCTGAACCACCCTGGAGGACCCCTAGAAACCTGCACTCGGACATTTGGGACCCAAAGAAACTCCAAGCTGGTTTTCCATCGTGTCCCATGGGAGGGACTAGGGGCTCCGATGTCTCTGGGGTGGGGGTAGTTTGCGTTTCCT